TGGTTTGGCCTTGGTCAGGCGGCAGGCTTTTCTTGAAGGCCGTCAAGTTTGGTGCATTTACTGTTTCATTGGCCAGGCTGTTCCACTCTCGTATCGTTCTCGGGAAAAACGAGTACATGTGGTAGTACGAGTACATGTGGTAGTAATTATATGGGAGTTCGCCTCCAGCAGTTTTCTTTCGTGCAATTAGTTTGTTTTGTTTTGGCACATCTCAAAATGATATATTTGTAACCAGAATATTGAGTTTAACATCCCTGTAAGTTATGTTATCTTTGTTATATCTACAGATCATGTCAGCATTTAAAGAGAAGAAACCAAGTAAGTGGATTGATTTTGTTGTGTTTTGTATTGGCAAGCTTTGATTTTTGTGTTGTCTCTTTTAACTTATGTTTTGCTGCATATGTTTACAGTTATTGAGGAGATCTGCCCAAAGGAAAGTTCAGTCATGGTAAAGCCTTTCTTTCGTTTGGTTGAATATGTTTTTTAGCTGAAACCTGAAATGTGAGGATCCTGTACATTGCGTGACATAAGTGTGACATGCCATGATACTGGTTTAATATGGCGTGACACGTATTAATTATCAAATGCTGTAGAGTGCCGCATGCACTGTTAGTTTATGGATGCGCGCAAGAGGTTACCAAGTACAAAAGATATACAGTCAAACCTGTATTAAGCGGACACCCTCTATTAAGCGGACAGCAGTGCAAGTCCCATTTTTTCTTTTCCCACATTTACTGTAAAAAATACCTGCATTCAACGGACATCTCTATTAAGCGGACGCGGACAGCTTGTAAACTTGATTTTTATGGTCATTTCTATTGTTAGAAACCTGTATCAAACGGACACTGCAAAAAGGATGCATGTTTTTTTGTCCACGTTTTTATAGATCGGTAATTTAAGTTTGCCGGCAAAAAGCTGTCACAGAAATGCGATATTTCATTATTCTGTTTTGTTTTTACAGAACTTTTGTTCTTGTTTGTGAACCTTCACGTCATTCTATCAATATAGATATATACTGTTACGGTATACTTAAATCCCTCTACCTCATATAATTGTCATTGTTTATGGAAGTACAGTATTTCAGAGGCGATGGCTAACTAGAATGCTATTTGACCCTTTCCCTTTGCCGTTTACTTTATAAAGCAATGTGAACAAAACGTCAAACGGGCATCCCAAAAAATTCTCTGTAGCGAGTGAAACCCTCTTTTGTTCGTACGTAAGAGGCATTGATTCAATTTCTAGCAATAAACGACTCGAACCTTTAAAAATTCTACGTGTCGTCATGGGCAAATAGTGAATGGTAAATTATCTAATCATTACGCATGCTTTATTTAAGTTATATTTGTAATGAGACGTGGTCCTTTGACATGGTTTGGCATCAATAACGTGATCTGCTATTTCTTGAAATTAAAATAAAGCATGTGAAGAGCTATTATTATAGGGCTTGTTCTTGTAGCCGATGTAACGCGCGCTCTGATTGGCTAATGGTAGGGCATTATTCTCCCGTAATGCTCACGGGCCGACTACGGGCTAGCAAAAAGAAACTAAAAAACCATCTAATAAACAACTTATGAACGTTCGTTCTTAACGGAAAAATCTCAAACCTTGATCTTGCCGTATTATACGGCAATACGGCATGGTCTTGGTCCGAGATTTTCCCGTAAAGACCTCACTCTCGGTCAATAAGTAATTGTTGAAGAACAAGATGATCTTTACCTTTCAGGGGGGAAATATGTTCGTCCTGATTCTGAACAAGCACCTCCCTGGTGACACAGATGAAGGCTACTATGCTAAATTTGGATCCAGTGCTCCGGTTGTCTTGACAAAAGTAAATCAAGTCAATCTAAAGGGAACGATTCCAGGTAAGGTTTTTTTCTTCCATTGTTCATATTTTCAATCATTCCTCGTGTAATGTACCATCTTTTGAGCATAAAATTCACCATCTTTATTCACTTGTCCCTACTCACGATGACGTCGACAGTGCTGATTCTGACGTGAAGTATATATGAAATAATCCATATTTGAACTGCGGTTGTAGATGAAAGTGAAGAATGATCATCGCAGTAAATTTCCAATTTAAGCAATTGGAAAGAAAAAGCCTGGAAAAATCAAGGCTTCAACAGGATTCGAACCCGTGACCTCCGCGATACCGGTGCGATGCTCTACCAACTGAGCTATGAAGCCACACATTGGGAGCGAGGTCAATTAATTGAGTTCATATCTNGAAGTATATATGAAATAATTCATATTTGAACTGCGATTGTAGATGAAAGTGAAGAATGATCATCGCAGTATGCAGGACGCCTGTCACATATGACCTCAGTTAAATGGCTTTGCTCTCCATCAGTTCTCGTAGCTCAGTGGATGGAGTGCCCGCCCGGTGTTTGGGAGGTCATGGGTTCGATTCCCGTCGGGGACTCACATGTTTTATTTGTCCCACGCTCGTGTCATGTTGATCAATTCACCTTTCACGTTTCAACTGTTCTTTAATAAGCATTGGAAGTGCAAGCGTAATTTTTTTCTTAAAAGTTGAAACTGCAATCAGTACATACAATATGAGCAATGGAAAAATGAACATAACTGGTTGGAGTGGCTGTATTAACAGGATAAAATTATAAAGTTTTATACAGGCTGAGATTTCGAGAAGTGTCGTTGTCCGGAGTAACGGGATTTTCTTATGAGAAAAGGTATAGGGGTTTCGCGAGGACAAAAAAAAGTGGCCGTAACTGACGAAGTTACCATATTAACGAGGTGACCGTAAAGCGGGGTTCTTCTGTAGTACTAGAATTGTCTGCTGAAGGTTGATGATAATCTGGCTTAGACAATGCAATACTTCCACATTCTGCGAGATAAAATGTTTCAAACGATGAACTTAGTCACTTTTACTTCCAATAAAAAGATGTTCCAATGCATTTGAATTGTCAGTTATAAAAAATGCGGCTCTAAGTGACTACACAAAGTGACTCTGCAGAAACTTAGAAAAAGCGGCTGGGTGTTTTTGTACTTGTTTATTTTCATGTTCTTTGAACGTTTTAGCTGAACCATTTGAAAGAGAATGCGTAAGTATATAATTAAACGCGAGAAGATTTCCTGGGATTCTGCAAAATAACGCTTGTTTCCGGTTAGTGTTGGTGTAGAAATAAAAGTCAATCGAGGTTTTAGCACAGTTTTCAATTGAGTGTCGCAAAACCAATATTATCACTCAAGCCAATCACAAAGAACACAAACAATACAGTGAACCAATCAAAACACGGAGTAAATACATGTACTACAGCTGACACGAAACGGACGCGAAACGCGGGGAAACTTGTGTAAGCGAGGGGTTTACTGATCTTTACTGCTGATTGGATGAAAAAGGGACGCAGTTTCTTGAGCCAATAGTGTAGCGAAGTAATGCAAAACCAATTACTTTTCGAAACTCAATTGAAAACCGCTCAACCGATTTTCTATAGTTTGAGGTTACCTGAAGTCAAAACTAAAGGGCAAAAAATTATGAGAGAACTCTTAAGAAGTGTAGAAAACGCGGCTCCTATTTCAATCTTGTTTTGTGTCTTCGTTTGTCGAATAAAATGAACATGTCCTCATTCCTTCCTTTAGCTTACCCCTCACCCGGTGTTGTTACTGTCGAAGTGGTATCCTCAACAGGGAGTTATCTGGGACAAACTTTATTTGAGTACATAGACACGGTCGACCACATATTGAAGAGGCTAGAGCACGATCAGGAACTACACCGTAGGTTTTTCCATCTTATGGCTCAGGAACTGCGGAGTGCACTAAGAAAACCTGAAAAGCGGCAGCCATCGCCAGCTATTCCGGGCTTTAAAATACCAGGTATGTGCGCTTTTCAGCGAAGCGCTTGGTTTATTTTAATTATTTTTAAAGTCATTGAATACTTTTTTGAAAGCAACTTTTGAATGCATACAGCAATAGGTGGTTTGCAACCATTCGCGAGAGATTCAAATAATAACGAACCTAGCGGTCATGCTGGATTAGAGAAACAAAGCTCGAGCTCTTATTAACCGAGCTTAGTCGGTCTGTATGGGAGAATCTTGACGGAGGTCGTGACCGAACGAATTAAGGTCTGTAAACACGACCGAGGTCAAGATTCTCCCATGCAGACCGACTAAGCTCGGTTAATAAAATGTTTATGATACGACAAGAAAATTTCAATTCGTTTAATGAAACTGGTTTGTACTAGCTGACATTTTGCGAACGGCGATGAGCTGAACTTAAATCTGCCAAAGTTTGCTCATCCTCTTTACTCTTTTTTCTAATCAGGCTTTTAGGCAGTTCCATAAAAATTTTATGAAGAAAATAGTCTATATTTTTTAGTTTAGTTTGCAACATTTTCAATGCAAAATGTAACCGGTCTAGATGGGAAGAATCTAGACCGCCGTCAATATTGACTTCCGCCAATCAAATTCGTGAATTCGGTAGTTCCCAGTCCTTTTGAGACAGCCATATAATAACTAAAATTCTTTTATGAAAAGTCATCCCATATGGCGGCGATGACGTCAGTTGTAAACGACCTATAATATTGGTTACGTCACCTATTGGTATGAATGTGTCAATCAGAGGGCTATAGACCGTTTTCACACACGTGATCAGCAGCCATGCAAATTTATTGGAACAACAAGAAAAGTGTTTAGTCAAGAAAAGAGTTCAATTCCCACAGGATTGGTTTGGGATACCATTATGGTTTCCGTGACGTCATGTGAAAACACTCTATCAGCTTGTGCAGAAGCATACCGCCTCAATTATTCTGGTTTGTGAAACTAATATATTATATTTTATGGTTGGAAAATTTGAATTACAAAATCGATGTTTGCGATAAACGGAAAAGTTCCCTACATCTCTATTACCATATTTCACCATATTTTTAATATGAAGGTTTTACCCTTCACACATTAATCCATTTTTATTTTAGATTAATTATCCATTTCTTCTTTATATCCAGAGGACAAGAGAAAAAGAGATTTTGTTACAAGTGGTTACAAAACGGACGATGAAGCATCGGACGATGGAGAATATTCAGAGGACATGAAAAAAACTGTTTACGAAGGAAGTGATTACGACGCGGACGATGAAAGATCGGACGATGGAGAGGTGCCATGTAGCAAAGGTATGGGAGCATGGTACCCTTAACACTGTTCACGCTTGCTGCCTGAGCACAGTGGCTGAGTACAATTCTTGCTGGGCGCTAATGTGAACACACCTTTTTCCAAGTACTCACACCAGAATTCGGGAACACTGCCCGTGCCGGGGTACAAGGTCTCGACCTAAATGGTATTTGGTTACTTGCTGTAGCCGGTGTCTGGACGCAACATTATTTTGTGCCGGTGCCCAGGTACAAGTGGTTGGGCACCAAGTGTGAACACTGCTTTATTATTTATTGTAAGAAGCGTTTCGAAAGTAACGACTTTCATCATTACTTACATGAACTGAATCTGATCGAATCTTCCTCTCGCCAGCATGAACACACCCACCCCTGCCGCACAGCGTAATAGAGAGCTTAAGCAAACCACGACGGCAACGGCAACGAAAACGCCACCAAACAAAAGGTTTAATGAGCAGAACAATGGCTGTGCACGTGCGTTATAAATCTTTGTACATTTCTTTGCCGTCCTCTACACAACAACAACGTGAAATGACTAAGTTCGGCATGTTTTGGAGAACGCGAACGATGGCGGCTAGTTTTTCGTTTTTTTCATTTGGAATTGAACGATGGCGTTACATATTTAGCTTGAGCAAGTCCTGAGACCGATAGGCGAACTAAACAGATCTAGACCATTGCGAAATTTGAAGGTAAAATATAAATTCATTTTTTTACTAGGCGTTGTCCTTGGGGTCGCCGTTGTCATTTCTTAAAGGAGCTACGTCACGGTTTGCGCATATTGAATTTTTCAAATTCGTTGTTTGTAATCCGTGTCAATCTTCTCCATCCTTGGCCATCCTTTTTCCTTTATGGTTTATCATTATCTCTCTGGTGTTTTTCTATCTTATTAAACCGTTATTTTCAGGTTTTCTACCGTTTAGAGATAATTTTGTATGTGGCCAAAATAACTCAAAATACCTTGACTGAGCCCCTTTAAGCTCTCTATTTAACAACCCCTGTAGGGCTCGACTCGAACCTGGACAGATCGATCCGGATTCCTGGAGTACGTCAATCATTTGGCCACCACCTCTGTCACTGACTTTTTAGCGGAGAGAAATTTCAAAAGACGACGAGTTCAAGAGCCCTCAAACGGATTGGAACCCAGACCTCTCGGATACCGTTCGGGCGCTCTAACCACTGAGCTACGGAAAGGCTGTTGGGGAGCTAGTCCATTTACTAGGTTATTATATTACATGGATCCTGTATCCTGATAATATTATTTCTTTTACAAAGTTGCAGGTTGGAATCCGAATTCAAAACTGTTTTCCTATGATGATATCATCGAGCCAAATGGCCACAGAGGGGACATAGAACAACCTTGTGGACCCCCATCGGGGGAATCTGTCTGGAGATTTCTTCATAGAACTGATAGACAGGAGGTGGACATTCAAGTACATATCTTAATCTTCGGCGAGCGTTTTTCCAACAGTCATGACCTCAGTAACTTAACACCTTTCTCGTTTAATGCCCAGGAAAGTGGGGCAAGTATTAGCGAGATAGAGCCTTCAGGTAAGGTGCTTGATATGATGCCTCAAATTAGCCTTTAGTCTCTGTCATTCCCTAAGGTGTTTGATAAACACTTCCCGCCACTCCCGTGGGGGAGGGGCGGGGGTACTCCGGATCCCTTATATGGGGTATGCAGGTATGTGTGGCCCGAATGGTATGGTTTTTGGCTGTTTTGGTCTGAAGTAGGATATCGATTTTGGCCATTTTGGTCCCAAAATACCGTTTGATTTTTGTGCACTAGTCTTGCATTGGGTATGTTCTTTAGAAGAAGCTACTTTTTCTTCGTTATCATATAAACATTGCCTTTAACATTGTTCTGAACTAGAGAACTAATTATAAGGCAGGTCTGAAACAGGGTATTGATCTAATGGGCAGGTCTCAAATAGTGTATGAAATTTTTGCTCAGATCATAGAAAGGTTAGGGAAAATCACAGATTTTGGTCTTGAATAGAGTAAGGGTTTTGGAAAGCGGGCCGCACTGTCCGCACACCTCCACCCAATTTTTTCTGGGAATACCCCCGGGGCTGGCATTACTGCAGATAGGCTAATTGATTTAGTGACAGATTATACGGATTATACACTACTGGCGTTGTTAAACAATGATCCGTATGGCGTAAGCTCTTCTTTCCACAGAGGCTCAAAAGGGGTTGTTTTCATGAGGAGAGAATCCGCTTACAATCTTCCGAATATTTGCGCCTGCACTTACCTCGCCCAGCGGATGTGTATGACGAACACCCCATCGAGCCTCTGAAGAGGAGAGCGTAGCTTCCCAGGGGGACCCCCGTATAAAAAGGAGGGGGATGCTCGCCGGAAATTGTGAAAAGAACCCCTAAGAGGTACCAAGATGCTGCTTTGTGGGACCTTTGTGGGACCTCTGAAGACATTTTGAGGCTGAACACCCTAAGAGGTAGGAAAACCGCTTTTTTAAACCCTTAAAGGTATGACGAGCACCCCCCGTACTTTTTATATGGGAGTCCTTCCCCGAGGGAAGGGGGGCGGGGGGGAGGTAGCGTCCGTCAATGGTTTTTACACCCGGGCGATAAGCAGCATTACTTCTGTTAACATGCAATCGTTTTTTTTTTTTTCAGCTATACCAAGGAAAAGTTCGGACAAAGTGGCTGGCGCAGCGGGTGATAACAATAGTACTGCACGATCTAACGGCGAGACCCCTGAAAGGGCTTATAATCCAGAAAATATGGATATTGTTGACAATCAGTTGAACAACGTTGATTTTGATCAAAATTCGGTGGCTGATAAAACCAGGCGTGCTGACGAAAGAAGCGGGGATGAAGATGACGATTCTCCTGGAAATCCACTGTAACAAAAAAAGAAAAAAATACGAAGAAATTCATTCATTTAGTCTAGGTGCGTTATGTTGGGAATGGGCGCTTTGCAGCTGGGGTCATGTGGCATGCAAAATATTCGCTAATTAACAATTAGATTATGATCTCGAGATTTCTATGAGGTGACAGTTGATGAGGCCGAAGGCCGAATCAACCATTGCGTCATAGAAATGGACAGCGAATAATCTAGTTGTTTTAGTAGAATTCTATTCTTTGGTATTAAACTTCATGCTTTAGAGAATTCGTGCGGACTGAATTGTCAATTTGACATTTGCAGTTGTGTGCGCGCGCTTATCAGTTTCTTTCAAATATTTGGAGCTTTTTTAATTCAAGAAACCGTAAATGCCCTCGTTTTAGTCTCCTCAGGAATTTTATTACCATTTCTCTAAATGTTCTTTCAAAACTTCAGAGAAACGAGGAAACGTTCCAATTTTGTCGACCACACCAAGCAACTGCACACTAATGGCTGATAGTGTGCAGTGGCTCGGCCAATCAGATTACAGCATTTGGATTAGTATGCTAGTAGAATTCTACTTAAATAAATTACATTATGGGCTTTAAAGCATGCCAGGAATGGAAAGAACGTATCAAAAATAGCAAACTTGCCAAGTTTGAGGCCCTAGGCGTTAAAGAGTAAGTTTATACGACACTGAATTTTCGGGAAATTTTGAGGATTTCTATGGAAAATGTTGCTAGAGAGCAAGGTCTTGCTTCCAACAACGTTTTCCATACAAATCTTCGTAATTTTCAAAAAATTCAAACCATCATAAAATCTCATTCTTTAATACCAGGCTTAAACTTTGCCATTTTGATATTTTCGACATGCTTTTTCCATTTCTGGCCCTCCTTAAGTCATAGCCCATAATTTTACGAAAAGTAGGTTACATGATGGCCTACCTGCAAAGTGCCTTTTGTGTTACAATAATTACAATTTTACTTACTGCTAGCTTTTACAATCGCAAAAATTAGTTCCCGCAAAATAATAATGAAAAAAAAAAAAAAAAAAAAATCGCCGTTTCGCAAAATTAAACTCCCGCAAAAATTAAGTACCGCAAGGTAGTTTATGGTTAGGTTTCATTCTGGGGTGAGGAGGTCTGGGTACAGGTGAGTTATTTTTGACGTATTTTTATATAGAATGCTTATTCATAAATCTCCGTAGGAAAAATGATGGCGGCTGTACATTTTACCGCAATACCATGCGAACCTTACTCAGCCCATTAGAAACAAGGAAAGCCATATTTTTGCAATATTTGTCCCTGTGCTAACGACACAGTGTATGCTTGATTTGAAGATTTTAGAACTTTGCTATACTTTTCCATGAGCGTTGTTAAGGTTTTTGTTCGCTAAGAACTATGGGTAAATGTGCCAGTCGCCATCTTGTTTCCAATGGAGGATTGTGCACGCGACGATTTACGGTGGCTTAAAGAGCGGAAGAGAAATATAATTTCTTACACATTGTTGTCTCTCTTCTTCAGACGGACTGGTTTATCTCCAGCAACTACAGCACTTCAGTCACTACCATCAGCAAATGTGAAACTAGTTCACCAATATCGCCTTGCTTCAGTCAAGCAGCAAGACCACCTCCACACAGTTTATGTTTCCTTGTTTACTTGTGTTTTGTCATTCAGATGTTTATATTTTTGTTGAAAGGACAACGTTGGCGGCAAACAGTTCGTTCTTTTCTGTATTTGGAACATTTTACAGTTGTCTGCTCAGTGACCTGGCCTTTGAATGGCAGCGAGGCTGGAGGTGACCTTGTTTTGATAAAGACCTCACTGCTTTTGTTGTGTGAATCAAATTATTCTTATACTAACTAGCTGGCATTTAAATGAGAAAAGCAAAGAGGTCTGTATCAATGCAAGGTCACTTCCAGCCTCGTCTGCATTCATAGGCCAGGTAACGAAGCACACGACAGACCATTTTCGTATTCTCGGTATTGGACTGGAACTAGCTTGCAATAGAGGCTCATGCGGAGAATATCATTAAAAAGATATAAAAGTCATTTGCATTTGAAAAGACTCCCCGCATTAGCCTCCATTGCAAGCTAGTTCCAGTCCAATACCGAGAATACGAAAACGGTCTATTGTAAAATTACCTATTCCAGCGTGCTCGTCTCCAAATTTCGCGCGGCTATTTTTTTCCCGCTCGTTTTCGATGTGGGAACTGTTTCCACAGATTGTCGTAGCAAATACACGCACTAACATAAAGAGAACATTGAAATTGTGAATAAACCTGAAACAAATATTTATCAATGTACATAACTGTAAAAAAATTAATAAATACCCTGCATATAAATTGAACTGAATTGTGCCTAGTCTTCTTCTCCACTCTTTCTTATCCCCTTGCTTGTAATTTTATAATGATGTATGTATGTGTATATGTGTGCGTGTATGCGTGTGTGTATGTACGTATGTATGCTCTGTGGTGTCCGATATCTCCATCACAAGAACGCGTAATCAAGGGTCTCCTTGGATGGATCTACAGTCCGATGTTCTCGTCCTCACAGACATGCTGGTTTTGATAATTCTACCGTGTGACCAAAAGAAACTAGAGTTCTGAATAGTTGAAATTGAGACTCTATTTTCGATGACGTCCTTTAACGGAAACGACCATGAAACCACTTTACCGTTTCCATACGTTTTCAAACGTTGAGAATGTGTTTAACAGCATTTCCAACGCAATTTGAAACGTTGACGACGCATTAACGCCATTGAAAACCATTTCAAAATGTTGCAGCGAATATCTTATCCGCGCCGCCCATGTCTAAGTAACGCTTTCCTGAAATATATTGCTCTCGAAATAAATCCCTATCATTGTGGTATGCTTTCTGACTGACAGTTCAAAACAATTCGTGATATTGGGATTTTATGTTACAAGTTCAAAGTTTACCAATAACAGTTATCGTAATCCATCAAATATTTTCGCTCGCGCGCGATTGGTCTAAACACGTCACGTGACCGAATATTCCCCAGCCAAAACTGGGGAATATCCGAGATTAGTACAGTGGAACCCTGTTAATACGGACACCAAGGGGACATGCCAAAATGTCCGTATTAACGGGGTGTCCGTATTAACCGGGGTCCTCGGAAAAAAGTCAGGGACACGTGTTTTATCGATACAAACACTAAGGCCGACACTTGTACGGCAACAAAACGTTTTAATTGT